GCAACAAGTGTGTAAAAATAAAAACAAATATCATATTTCTGCCTATATATGTGACCAACTACGGACGAGACATAAAACGAGAGGGAAAATCGTAAATTAAATTTTATATTGAAGTTGATTCTTTATTCTTTTCTGCGATTTTATTTTACTTCATACTGAAAAGTTGGTAAAAAACTATCATTTTAAAATTTCAGACATATCAAAATTTATCAACTCTAATAAAAAATCAATAAGTTACAATATTTGATATTTTTTGTTTTTTCAAGTATTGATGTCAATACCACAATGTACGCCGATCTAGTATTTCACAACCCTCTTATGAAAGGGAAACACCATCGTTATAAAATCAAATACAAAAAATAATGTAGTTCCTCAAGGTTTGTTTATGTAGATCGGACGACTCGTCTTCAACAACAGTTATAGCCTTATATGAATGATTTTGTAAGCTTATCAAAATTATCATTATACACTAGGTGAATTGATATTTTCATTTTATCTTTTAACATAAGTATGTGTTGATGAACATTTTAATATAAAAAGACATAATATTTTAAGCAAAGTTCGTATACGCCAATTTGTAATAAAAAACTTGATAAAACCAATAAATTGATTTCGCCCAAAGTTGTTTGATCTCTCAATGAGAGGGGGGTATTCATGGGTCGGTGTAGAACAAGAATGACAATAATTATGTATGTGAATGAAAACAACACCCGCAATGACACCATAAAGTGCTTTCACAATATTGTCCTTTTATTGTTTTATCCAAAAATCTATATTATTTGGTCTGCTTGGAAACAGGAGAGAGTCACAAATTCCTGGTTGAAATGAATTTTTGTTATATTGGGTTTCATTACATCTTGAAGGGATACATTTTCAATGTTTTTACGTCTAAATGTATTAGAAAAATATATCTTAAATTTAAGGCAAAAAAAAATGTATTTATATTTTTTGGTTTCATATAATTCATTTGGAAACGAAAAAAATAAATAAATGTTTTTTACACCCTTCGCACCCCCATCCGAGTTTTTTTGTTGAATCATTTAGGAAACAAATTTTTAAAAAGTTTTTAGTTACTAGTTTATTAACCGAAAACAACCTATGTACATTACATTTGACTTACCTTTGGAAAACATATTTTCAAACATCGTTGTCTGTTTCTCATTAAAAAAATATAAGTTCAAGTGCGTAAAAATGATGTGTTCGAATATAGTATATATATGATGTATTTGCGTAGAGTGTAATGTAATATGTACATGTTGTATTGAATGCGTCTACAACATGCATAAATTGTATACAACGTATTTCAAGTAGAATACATTCTTCCGATTTAAAATGGGGTGGGAGGAGACTTAAACTGAGAGGTAAATGTTTCTGGTCCTTCTTTGTTCACCTAACATACTTGGATGACACGTTTACCGTAGACTCACGAAGAGGGCGATAAGGTTTGCATAACATATTAAATAAAGATAGGGAGATGACTAAATTTGTAGGTATATGTTTGCGCTTTCCTTTTTGTTTTTGGAAGATAGCACACTTTAAGCAAGTTTGGGAGAAAGTTGATATAATAGGATGAGGGAAAACTCAAATTGGGAGGTAACCAGGAAGGTGTAGGGAGTGCTACCAATATTTATTATAAAAAGCGTTGTATCTTAAAATCTTTAGCATAACATACGTAGGTTGTATTTGAATATAAAACAATTTGTATATTATATATGTAGTTCTCATGTGATGGGATCTCCCTAATCTATCAATTGCCTTCATGGTTTTTGCACTGCACCAGGTTGCTTTATATATAAAAAACGGTTTTTGTTTGATACAAATTGACAAGGCCATCGAGTATTTCTCATAAATATAACCATGTTACCATGATATATATTGCTCTCTTGACCATTCGTCACATATTTTCTGCATTCACGAAACTAAAAGGACATGAGTTCGATCGATGTCTAAGCTATTGCGGATCAACCCTTTGGGCATGACACCATCCAAATGCTTCGAGCAATGCCCAACCTTTGTCCATCCCGGGGTTCAGTTGCATTATGCAACGACCTGTTTGATGGCCTCCAACAGTAAGAGCAACAATACCGCTTCCCATTGTGAAACCACCAACCAAGCCTCTCCCCACCTTGCCAAACTTGCCCATGGATTGCCCCAGGCACTGGAATGCGCATTCAAACGACCAGTACTTCGCTCAACCATTTTTTTTTGACACAATAATTAATACGCCGCATTTTTCATGGGTCGGCCTACTGGGGCAAAATGGCTGGCGGATCCAGCCAAAACAAGGCTCATGCAGCGCATTTCCAGGCTCAGCAAGGGAAGGGTAAAAAGGACTGGTGGTGACAAGACGCCATATCCACCGTACATTCGAACTTGGCTACACCTTCCTGGTGCCCACGTTAGTACCGCAGAACTTTCTTCACGTGCAAAAATCTGGACGACTTGGAACATTGGTGTATGCTCACAGGCTAGCACGAAGGAGAAGGTAGAACCGTCCACTGGATGACGTCCTCGTCACTGAATGCACCTTCACAGCTATGGTGTGAATGCGCAGCTATCGCAGTATGTCCAATCGCCCATACTGCTGAACAATCATTGCTCGCCAAACGCTGTTGGCAAGAGGAATTTTTCGCTTTTACTATGCAGTGATGCTAGTGGTTGCTGCCTTGCCTCCCCCCCTTCCCGTTATGCTCCACCAGCTTCTGTTTTCTCGAGGTCCGGTTTCCGCTTGTGACCAACCTTGGGCTGCATGCTAGGCAAGCTCCACCGAATGGCAGGGCCTTGCTGCCGAGTACCGGTGATGGTTTTGACAGAGGTTCGAGTTTCACAAAATGTTCAAACATAACCCTTGTGCCTGTTCTTTGTAAGGGCAGTGTTGCATGCCTCTGCATTTGGGCACAAACCTCCTGGGGCCATGTCCCAGTTGTCGAGGTTTAGCTCTGGTTTCGTGTATACATGGCTCCCTGCCATCTGATCTGAAAATCTCACGGCCAGAGTGTGCCCACGTTGAAAACTACAGGAAACATAAACTGACCCCAGGTTCTTTATTCGGACGTCGTAAACCATTTGTTTTTTAAATGGCATTTTTTTGAGAAATCTGTTTGAATACAACGCCTACCCTGTTGACTCAGGGAAAGATGGTGGTTCCTCGTCCTCTTCCTCGGGCCCGCTCCCGCCCTCGCCTCGTCGTTCGTCGCAAGCTTTTCCGAGCCTCCGTCCGGTGTGGTCCCCCTGACCAACTGGCGTGATCCTTTGGCAGGGCGGGGAATCAGAGCCAATGAGCGCGCCGGCCGAGCGGCCGGTTTATCCGAGATATCCCAGGCCCCCGTTGCGCTTTCAGTTCTGCCGACGATAGATTCCGGTTGGGGTAGGGTGGGCGGGGGTTGGCAGCTTGTCGCCAGGAAGGGTAGGGGTTAGGCGCATGCGGGGAGGGAGGGAGGGAGGGGCCGTCAGGCGGAGGAGGGACTCGACAGAGGCGCGAGGGAGAAGGGCGCGCATCGCGCGACGGATCACCGAACAAACGAACGAACGAAAGATCCCGCGAGGCCGTACTGTATGTGAGGCGGGGCCAACCACGATAATCCCTCTAGCTCAGATTGGAGGAAGAGCGCGGGAGAGGGAGAATATCAAATCCACAATCGTCAGAAAGAGCGAAGGCTGGTGAATGCTACGCTTATCTCCTGGCGGCGTGTGATCACACGACCGGGCGGTACAGAATCACCGAGAAAGGGGAAGCGCGCGGCTCGCACTCGTCCTCTCGTAGTTGCGAGCGTCTCTCCGCTTTACCACTCGAAGCACCATAGCCGAGATGGCGTCAGCAGTAACGTCCGCCGCTTCCGCCGCTTCCGCGGCTGCCACGCTGAGCTCCGGCGCGGTGGTGTCCAAGCGCGCGGAGGGCGTGGTGGTGGCGCGTTCCGCATTCGTGAGCGGAGCCGCCCTGCGCTCCCCGAGCTTGAGCGGGCAGAGGCTGTTCAGCGGCCCCTGCGCGGCTTCCAGGCTGGTGATGGAAACGGCGGCGCCCGCCGGGTTCACCCCGCCGGAGTTGAAGGCTGACACTCCTTCCCCCATCTTCGGCGGAAGCACCGGCGGTCTGCTGCGCAAGGCCCAGGTGGAGGAGTTCTACGTCATCACCTGGGAGTCCCCCAAGGAGCAGATCTTCGAGATGCCCACGGGCGGGGCTGCCATCATGCGCTCGGGTCCCAACCTGTTGAAGTTGGCGCGCAAGGAGCAATGCCTGGCTCTCGGGACCCAGCTCCGCACCAATTACAAGATCAACTACCAATTTTACCGCGTGTACCCTAGCGGGGAGGTGCAGTACCTCCACCCCAAGGACGGAGTCTACCCGGAGAAGGTGAATGAGGGACGCGAGGGGGCCAACCAGAACTTCCGCTCCATTGGCAAGAACGTCAATCCCGCGAGTGTCAAGTTCACAGGCAAGGAAGCCATGGATTTGTAGGCTGGAGAGAGAGAGAGAGAGAGAGAGAGAGAGAGAGAGAGAGAGAGAGAGAGAGAGAGAGAGAGAGAGAGAGAGAGAGAGAGAGAGAGA